ATAAAATTTTTATATATTACTGTCACTTTGTAGCTGAAGTCATACAGAATATAAAACCATTTTACTTTTATGTTTCAGGTAAGCCATTCTCAAGTTCTGATGGAGCTACCAAAGCACTAAAGTTTTAAGGTGTTTTTTTATACTACTGTTTTTGCAATAAAAAATTAATTAAAATGAAAAAATAAAAATTTATTTATATAGTTTAAGACTCAATTTAACAAACCCAACAACTTTTATATCGATATCTTTTATAGTTTTCTTGGAAAAAATTCGCGAAAATAGCCTTTTTTTTAGGTGCTCAGAGTAGAAGGTTAGCAGTAACCTTAAGCAGTATAACTCGTTAGTATCTTGTACGTATATTTTTAAATTCATTGAAACGCAAACCCTTAAATATCTCGATTTTAAGATAAATGGACTTAGGCCACTTTCAAAATAAACGGCTCAATTATTCATTGTTTTCTTCTGTACTTTTAGACTGTAATTTACATTTTTTTATTATATAACAATCATTTTAAATTTATTGAACATTCTAATGTACTCTACTAATATTTTACATTATTTTTAACATTTCAGATCATCAATGACTTTTAATCGAAAATTTTTATCTTAAAAAAATATTAGATTAAAATTGTTTAATATTCGTGTTATATTAATAGATATTTTATGTAATTTTTAAACAAGTGTAATTTATATTATTCTTACTTTGATAAGTATTAAACTGATTCTTATATTTAGAAAACAAAACATTTATTAACAATAAAAACAAAGGACGATCGTCCGTTAGACATGAAATAAATCGAATATTCCCACCGTTTTTATATCAACATGTACGATATTAAGGTATGGATGTATTCCGTATATTATTTTCGTATTTGTTTAATTCACTTGCTATAAATAAAGCTTTCAAATTTAACTTATTAAATATATTAATACATTTATTTCTAATTTGTCCTTAATTTAAATACACTATACCAGTGGTTCCCAAAGTGGGCGATATCGCTCCCTGGTGGGCAATGAAGCGGTTGAAGGGGGGTGATTGACACGACCACAGGTGAAAACTGGAACTTTGTGTGCGGGTGTGCATTAAAAGAAGGTCATGAGTGCAATAAATAATTTTTCTCTTCTCAGTTACTAAAAATAAAAAAAGGTCACAATATTAAGAAATTAAGAAATAAATTTTCAAGGGGGCGATAGGACAAAAAAGTTTGGGAACCACTGCACTATACCATTACTTTTCAAGGATAAATCTAGTAAACTTGACAATTTATGATTTCAAGTGTCACTCAATGTATATATGAATCAATCAATTATTTTCACATTATAATACAAGTTTTATTTCTATAAAAGTTTTTAGGTTTATTGCATATTTAATTGCATATTTAAATATATTTATTGTACATAAAAATCAACAATCAAATTGATTACTGATGATAGAACACTAAGGCGAGTTTATAAGATAAATCTTATTGGTCAAAAGAATTCTGTTAAACGACGCGCGCATTTATACAAACGCTCTACTCACCTTTATATCGCCTAAATATGGAAGCGTCGAAAGTTAAACGAGTTAAATACAACGTGAATCAGTCTTGAGTGTTTTGTGGTTATATACTATATGTGTATATGTGCATTTATTGTTCATTGTTCTAAGAACTATCATTAAAAGTGAAAAAACAATTGGACAATTTGATTACAGTATAAAATTGGATAACTCTACTGTTAAACAAAATGTCTTCTAAAGAATATAACAAAGAAACAGACAATGATGTTTCTGATGCGTTTGGATGCCCAAGGTATCATTGGCTGTATAACATTCAATTATCTTTATAATTGATGTTTTTATAAAATATTGAATTTAAGCGATCAAAAATAAATGCATTTTTTACGATAATATAGATTTATTCTTAAAATTTAAGAAAAGCACGTAGCCTTAATCTGATATATTATATTAAAATTAAATTTATAAACATTTGTAAATCATATTTATATCTTCGCAGGAAAACTACTACTCCGGTTATTCGACCCTTACAAACATCACCAACTGAACGATATGCTTCACATTACAAAATGGATCATCCCAAACGTGGCATAGCAATTATATTTAATCATGAACTTTTTTCTATTAATCATCTTAAACCACGAAACGGAACTAATACTGATTGCGAAAACTTCAAGTCTGCATTAGAATTACTTGGATTTACTGTTCGAGTTTATGAAAATTATACTTCTAAACAATTAGAAATGGTTTTGAGAGAAGGTATCAAAATAAAGGATAGAATAAAGATTAAGTAAATAATAATATAAGAACATAAAATAATCTCTAATTGATAACAATGTATTTTTATAGTTTCCGAAATAGATCACACCAATCACGATTGCTTAGTAGTTTCTGTATTAAGTCATGGAGAATTAGGAATGCTGTATGCGTATGATACTCCTTACAAAGCTGATACTATTTGGTCTCCTTTTACATCAGACAAGTGTCCTACTCTTGCCGGAAAACCAAAACTATTCTTTATACAAGCCTGTCAAGGTGATAGATTAGATTCCGGTATAACTTTAAAAGAACGTACAGAAACTGATAGTAGTACACATACTAGTACATTCCGTATACCAACTCATGCAGATTTTTTAATTGCTTATTCAACAATACCAGGTAAGCTGTGATTCTAATCATATATTTTGAATATCGAAAGTAAAAGAACACGTTCTATATATCTTTAAGTTATTTTATTTTTTTTATTAATTAAATTCCAAAATAATTTGCATTTAGGTTTTTATTCATGGAGAAATACGACACGTGGATCGTGGTTTATGCAAGCATTATGTATAGAATTAAAAGAATATGGATTTAAACATGATTTATTAACGCTACTTACTTTTGTCTGTCAGCGAGTCGCAATTGATTATGAATCTAATACTCCAGATAATATAACTATGCATCAACAAAAACAAATCCCATGCATTACAACTATGTTAACTCGTCTAGTAAAATTCACTGCTCCTCAGAATAGTGTTTAATATTTTAAGATTATTATTATATATTCATATTAAGTAGTACATTTTATCTTATTGTAGCACATGTATTATATATGTGCTTAGCTTTATTCAAATAACATTTATTATTAATTTTCAAAATGCATTTACAATTCTACTGCCATTATTTACTGCATTTATATTAACTGTTTAAGAGAGTGGAGATATACACAAATATGAGAAGTACAAATTTTTCTGGTCTCACAAAGTAATGAAAGTAGAACAAATTTTTGATACAAATGTTTTTTAGAATTTATATATTTACATGTAACGCGTGATCCTATTAATTTTTAAACAGTTTTGCATTTAAAAGGTACTACTATTAAATTACATCTTTCTAAAATAAGAATATTACTTAATTGTAACAGATTTTGTTGTATTTCAATGATCTTATCAAACTACTTAATATTTTTAAGTTTGCGCATTATGTAGATCACGTAAATTTGTAAATATTTACAATTAAAAATTTTGTAAGAAAAAATTTACAGTTATAATTAAAAAGTTCCACTGTTTACCATTGTGTAAATTGTTGTGATAATATATTAGTTAACCATGTAAATCTGTTATTATAACAATACTATAAAAAATGATTTCAACACAGGATAAATATATTTTATATGTAAGATAGTATTATCACATGCGACGCTGTGAGTCTTGTATAATTTAGTGTCTTTTATACTGTATACACTTATACCTTTATACACATTTATATACAAAATTTAAATATGACTTCTTTGTAATATGCAATAACGATATACAAAGAAAATGAAAGAAACATATTACAAATAAAGTTTCTCAGTAAAAATTTTTTGTTTCCTTAAATAATTTGATTGATTTATATTCTATTTCATTATTTCAATTACTCTTATACGCATTGGCCCCCAAAATATATAATATCTTATAAATCATTACTGAAGAACTTGTCCAGGAATATTTATTATCGATAATGTATTATGTAGTGTAGAATGTGCAGGCGCTGTATATGGACGGTGATATTTGTTTTTTTTTTTTTTATCATTAAGATGCGTATCAAAACTTGAGAAATCTATACCAGTAATAGTTTGGGTACTTTTTTGTGCTACAGGTGTTATAATATTAGAATTATCGTATAAAGATAGATCTTCATTCATATTAAATGTACTTTCAGAAGGAAGTGGTGCAGTCTTATTAGACATGAAGATTTTCTTAAGTTGAGATTTCCCATTGATAACACCTATGAGTTCACGTTATTTAGATAAATTCACATTATAACGATAATTTATTAATATAATATAATCTAATTGATAAATATATATATAATTCTTACCATTTACTAAATGATTTTCTGTATTATTTTCTTCCTAAGAATAAAAAATAAAAGGAAAAATTAGTAATCATAGAATATCAAATTTCTATATTTCATAGTACATCTATAGAAAAATATTAATAAGTTTACCTTTTTAGATAAAAGTTCTGCTATTGGTTTAAAAGGATTAGAGTGTACTGTTAATCTAGGTGGAGAATATTTGCAATCCTTTACAGCTCTTCGGTTTTTTAATTCTTCGTTTATGATGTTTTGAGATTGCTTAACTCTATTATTTAAAACAGTATAATTCCTCAGGATTGTATCCAATAACCATCTAAAAAAAAATAAATATATTTTTATTTAAAAGATTATTTCAACTTGATGAAAAAGTATTATGAACAAATTATCATTACTTATATCCATTTGTAATGCCTAAAATACTACTTTTAACGTGGTCTTTTTCGGAAAAACAAGAACAAGTTTCAACTCTTGTAGGACATCGTGTAGTATTCACTAAATATTCTACATCTAAATTGTCAACGACATCCAATTCATCGATAGCTCCATTTAAATCTTGTTTGTTGGCAAGTCTATACATAGAGAAATAAAACACATGTAATATTTATTACAGCAATTAATCATAATTGATATATTGTTAATATGTTGCTAGACAATTATTAAAAATTAAAATTTCATGTGCGTATATTGAAACCAAAATGTGTGAAATAACACATAGAATGATTTATATTTCTTACAATAATAATGGTTTTCCTGAAATATTTTCATGAGCAACTAATTCACCAAATACAACTTTATTTTCTGCAAGACGGGAAATATCACTAGCATCCACGACGTATATAAGACCGTGTATCTAAAATATTCAATATTAAAGCACTAATGCATAATAAATATGCTCTTTCTTTATAATAGAAATAACTTCAGAAAAATTTATATAAATTTTATATTATTAATATATAAAAGATAATTATTTACTAAAATAACATGAACGTACATCATTATAATATTTTGGCCATAATGATCTTATTTGTGTGCTACCACCAACATCATATATTTTTACAGCATAAGATTTATATTTTAAACATACAGTTCGGAATCCCATTGTTGATAATACATGTTTATCAGGATCTAAAAATTGAATAAACCTTAAAATTTATTTTTTAAAAAAGGATATAATGTAACAATGCTTTATTCATATTGAAAATAAAATTCCATTCCATGAATTTCTAGAAATTAATTAAATATTTAGTATTTTTGCTAATACTATATATATATATATATATATATATATATATATATATGAATGAAAAGTTCTAATGCACAAAAACAACAAATTCTGAATAATAAAAAAGAGCAAAAATTGTTTATTACATACCACCACATATGTGATTTAAAATTAAAGTCTTTCCTGCGTTGTCTAGACCAACAATAAGAAGAGTTATATTTCTGAAATAAAAATAATATATTCTTGTATTTAAAGAAAAAATTTACATTTTTCTTAAAAAAAAAAAGTTAGAATACTTTACTTTTCTGAATGATGTTTTTTTGATAATTTTTGTATCGTATTTCGTAGACAATTACCCATTATAACAAATTACAATTAAATTAAGTCTTAAATTATATCTCTTATATTATTAATTTAATTTTTCAATTTATAATGCATATAAATATATGTGTGATTTATATTTTATATAAGATATATAAATTTTTTTGTTATTAAATACACCGCGAGCCTAACATAAGCCCATCGGAAAAATAACATATATAAATATATGCGTAATCCATATTTGATTATTAAATTTTATATTTAAAAATTTTTATGAAATTATTCACACATAAAATCACATTTGAGTATTACAATGTACAAAATTACAATCGAAAAAAAAAACTTGATTTGATTCTTTTTATGTATAAACTTGACTAAGTAATCATAAACAAACATATAGTAAAACATGAACTTACTAAATAAGAGAAGAAATAGAACCTGCTATAAAAAAGTATATACATAACATTTTATTTTAGTATTGCATACGTAAATTACAACTAGAAATGAAATTTTTACTAAAAAAAATTTTATATTTATATAAATGAATATAAATATAAAATCAATAAATGTCACAAAATCCACATGACTTAAATGTATTAAAATATTTTTTATTATTTAATTAATCTAAAATTTTTAGAAATGATATATTATGTAGCATGAATATTTGATAATAGCAACATTCACAATGATTTTTGTATTTGAAAATACAATATAATAGAAAGAATATTTTTTTTTAATTCACAGTTGATCAATAACTGTAAAAAAAGAAGAAAACTTCTATGCCTAGATAGCTCAGTCGGTAGAGCATCAGACTTTTAATCTGAGGGTCCAGGGTTCAAGTCCCTGTTTGGGCGAATATATTTTTTTCTTTTTTTTTCTTTCACAATAAATTTATATTAGCAATATATTCATTATGGTCAGTGTAAAAAAAATTAAATTTAATAAAAGAAAGAAAAAAACTATTATTAAATTTCAGATCATGTTTAATAATTTAATGAATATAATAATATATTTAATTTTTATTGCTGCGACAATGTATTAAGTGTAGAAATTAATTAGGTGCCTTTTAAAAATAAATTTAATATTTTATGGAACCGAAATCATTCATTTATAATACAAAATTGTACATACAAATATTTCCCACAAATCTACCAACAAACAAATTACACAATGCACTTTTAAGTACAATATGGAAAATAAATTTACATTAAAATATCCACAATATAAAAATAATATCTATAAATTCGATTAAAAAGAAAATCGATTTGTAAATCAGTCGATATAAAATAATATTATAAATAATAATAATAATAATGAACAATCAAATAAATTTTCAAACAAATCAAACTCAGTAAGAGATTAATTTAACAAATATACAAATAATAATATCTTAAAAGGACTATACAATATGAAATGAAATTTTATATACAGAATGATTCTTGGAACGGAGGCGGGTAATAACTTCTTTTTTTGAAATTGCCTAACAACATGGAATTTAACAGAGGGCGGAATAAAACCCATAGGTTCAACTATAAGGCAACATAATGGTGTAAATTTGAGAAGCATTTACAAAGAAACTACTCAGCCAAAATCCCGGATAACAGGAATCTGCATATAGAGGAAATAGGTAACAGCATTACTGAACTGAACAATGCGATTTTAACAACTATTGAACATACGGTGCCAAGATTTAAGCCTCACAATAACATAAGCAAATATTTTAATACAAGAAAAAGAAAATTACAAAAGAAGAAATCAGGGTACCTTAAAACTCTGCATTGTATGCAACAGAATAATCCAACCGCATGGCAGGAAGAAATTGTACTAATCAAAGAAATCGTTAAAGTAGTTAAGGATCAGCTGAGAAAAGAATTTGCAAAGGCAACAACCAGATATTACGAAGGGCAGTTAAAACAAATAAATCATCGTGATGCATTCACATTCTTCCCAAAAATTAATAGGTTATTGAGAAATAAAAAATTCATCAAGATTGGCGATCAAGTATTAAGTACCAATGACCCAATCATTAACAAATTAAAAATTAACACGGATAATCAGAACACGGAGGGCAAGATTTTAATAACCGATGCAACAGCAAAATTGAATATAATTGGTAGTTATTTAGAATCCATCAACTCGGCTCGATACTTGAATAATGGAACGAGATTGAAAGAGTTAGTTGTAGCGAGAGCAGGTAAAGTTAGGCATGAATTTGAAGTAAATAGAAGTTTGAAACGCACACAATTAATTTTCAGCGATTCTAATAGGGCATCACTGCCGATTTGTGACCCAGACAGAGCTTATTTCTGTAATAGTTACACCCTTAGTAACTTACTGAAGAAACTTCCTAACAAGACTTCTAGTGGCCTGGATAATATACCTACAATAGTTCTTAAGCATTTGCCAGCCAACATTGTGAATAACCTCGTTATAATATTTAACAACGCACTCAACCATTCATATTTTCTGATATTGTGGAAAAAGACCAAGGTATTGCCAATTTTAAAAAAAGGTTAAGGATCCCGGGAAACCATCTAGCTATAGGTCTATCAGTCTGACGCCTACACTCAGCAAAGTCTACGAAACCATCATCATCACACATGTTAACAAATTCTGCAAGGACAACTCTCTGATGCCAAACCAACAATTTGGGTTCAAGCATAAGCATTCTGCGGTGCATGCCATCCACTATCTACTAAACTATGTCAAGGAAGAACTGCACTACAACCAATTAATAGGGGCGTTATTGATCGACTTGGAAAAAGCTTTCGATTCAGTATGGTTAGATGAACTAATATTCAAACTCACAAAATTAGGTTTCCCGCAATGGCTGATTCTTATCATTTGGGATATGATTCACGACAAGACGTTTGTGACATGGGATGGCGTTAACATCTCGAGCAAAATATTTAGCGTCGAAAAAGGACTGCAACAAGGGACGATCTCCTCCCCAATATTGTTTGTAATTTTTACTTTGTCACTTACTTTGAAATTTCGATGACCTTCACTTAATACTTTTTAATGCAGAATAACAAAAGGAATTGAATAGTGTAAAAAAAGTATAAAGTTCCATTTAAAAAAAAAGTGCAACTGCATCTAGCGGGTGCATCGATGCATTTTCAAAAAAAGTAAGGTCATAAAAAGTTGACATTTGTTGTGCCGTATAACTTTTTCCTTTATGATTTTTTTCTATTGTTACTTAAAAAAAAGTTATTATCCGCCTCCATTCCAAGAATCACCCTGTATATATATATATATACATATATATATATGTAAGCAAGATATATAAATTTACTTAAATCCTGATAAAATCACATTATTGTAAATAAGATAAAAAATAACATTTATATATTTAAACAATAAATGTTTTATGATTGTTCCTTAATGCTACCATCCATCATACCAAAATATGCTTTATGTGCCATATTAATAAAAAGACCTGTTTCTATTACTCCAGGGTATAATAAAATTTCCTTATTAATTCTATTCCAATCGCTCAAATCTTCCGGAAAATGCCAATCCAGAATAAAATTACCATTGTCGGTTATAATAGGTCCCTGCAATAATACACATACAAATTTAATACACACAAGTACATATTTATTTTTTATTAAAAATAGACAATAATAAGATATAATAAAAAGATTTACAGCTTTAGCAACTGCCATTCTGATTTTTACATCGCCACCATAGTTATCTTCAATTCTATGTTGAATAGGAACACATGCCATAGGAACTACTTCAATAGGTATACCATTCTTATATTGTTGTCCAAGTTTCTCCGATTGTTTTCTAAAATTCATTATAATATAAGTAAAATGTATAAGGAAATATGTTATTAGATCGGTATAGATTTATAATTTACGTATAATCAGCTATGATAATAAATTGTTTGGCACACGAAGCAACAATTTTTTCTTGAAGCAAACATCCCCCACCACCTTTAATAATATTCATATCGGCATCAACTTCATCTGCACCATCAATGGCACAATCTATCTATAAAATATTATATATTATATATTAAATGATAATATCTAATAAATAAGATATTAAATAATATATAAATATTGTTTACTTTGGGAAAAGAATCCAAATAACCTAATGTTAAATGATTATTAAGTATCAATTGTCGAGCTTGATAAGAAGTAGGAATGCAAACCACGTTAAGTTTTTCTTCCCTCACACGTTCAGCTATAAAAAAAAAATAAATAATTCTAATCAAAATATAACTTCTTAATTGTGTATACAATGTTAAGCAACAACGTGATAAAAAATATTCAGTATAGATATGATTATATTATGTATAGAATACATAAAAGAAGATATTGTATTTCAAAAAAATTAAAGATTATAATCTAAATAAAATAAAAGTTAAAATAAAAATAAATTATTAATAATTCTTACCAAGTCTGTTTATGGCATGAATAATTGTAGATCCACTACCAATTCCAATTACACTATTATCCTGTAAATCAAATTCAATTATAATCAACACATTATATGTCAATACAAATATTTATTACTAACCTGTATAATTTTTTTGATTTATCATTTTGCAATAAAAAAAAAATAAAATAATATATATAAATACATATAAATATAAATTACCTTAACATATTCGTCGATAGCTTTATAAGCAGCAATTTTTTTTGCAGTTTCAAGAGGTCCCATTTTTGCTGATATATTTATATAATTATTTAAAAATCTCACGTTAGTAAAAGAATAAAACGACGACAAAGCTTTCGCGCCTACTGATGTTTTCAAACTCATTCTCTAATTTCAATATAGGATTTTAAATTTTGCCAACATAATGGTAATTTTGTTTTACCAACATAACGAATGTTTTACAATTTCATACTAGGAAGTTTCCTGAAAAAAAGGAACAAATTTTCGATTATTAAAATAATATCTTATATCACTGCATGGTATTAGATTCAATTCATAAAATATATATTAAATTAATTATTAATATTATAATACTTTTAATTATAAAATTTAACGTGTATGTTTTGTGTCACGTTGATTGAAAATTAAGAGATAAGTATGAATGATAAAAAAATTTAATAATTATAAAATTAACACGTACTCATACATACCACATTGATTGATAATAATTATTTTCATAAATAGATGTAAATACAATATAATACGTAAATATAATAATGTATATGTATATTTCTAATTACAAAAAATCTTAAGAACAAGCATGTACATATTATAAAATGTTTTAACTTTAAGAATAACATTTATATACATATTTATCACAAGTATATAATTATTAATTGTATGTCTGGTAATAATTAAATACTGTTCTTGTTTAGGTTATGTCGTTTAGATCATTAGTAACGAAACTAGAATACACGTGCAAGAGATGGCACGTGAACGATTTACAGATTAAATTTATTTTCTAATAGATAAATCATAGATAAGATATTCCAGACTCTTCATTTTATATTTAATTTTTTCTTACACATTATTATTTCGTACATGTTATTATGCTGGCAATGCTGTTTTGAATTGACACTAGTTATTATTGACACGTCAAATAGTTGATAAATAATATTTGGGAATTTCTGACACGCACACGTAAAAAGATTCGCCATCGGTGATTTAAATTATCACAGAGCAACTTAATAAACACGTGATACAAAAACGGTATTAATTAATCTGTTAAGACTTTGATACGTACATATGTACGTGTACCACATATCGTATTTTTTACCGCATAGAGAAGAAGATAGAGAAATAATAGAGTGCGCACGCGCTCAAAAATAATGGGGTATTTTGGAACGGGTGGTCCCCCTGAGTGGGTCCAAAGAAAAGTGTTACAAAGTTGAATTCGTTTTCTAAGAAGATTTATTAACGAATGTGATATCACTTAAATAATATAATTAAATTAATTTGATAAGAAATATTGAACATTCGTTACACGCGTCAAATTGATATATATTACAATTTAAAATTAATAAACTTATTCGAATTATTAAATAAATGTTATACGCTGAAAAGATTACTTACTAATCCTCTAACCGGTAGAGAATATTTCGATCGATTTGATATATACGTTTATATAGCTAAACATAATGGAAGCTTTAATACCAGTAATAAACAAATTACAAGATGTATTTAACACCGTTGGAGCCGATGCTATTCAACTTCCTCAAATAGTTGTCTTAGGAACTCAGGTCAGTAAATATTTTCATAATTTTCATCATGCACACTTGACAATACTCCGAATATTATATTTTGATCTTTGTTCTTTTGTATCTATTGTCGTTAAACAATATTTAAATATTTATGTACAAAATTGTTTGACGATATTAATTTAACATTAAACGATTAATTACAATGGTTCAATAATAAGAAAATAGTTGTTGATATTTCACTATTAAATTTTAAATAATTCACAAATTCTTTTACATTTTTATCATAATAATGATATGGAATAAAGTTTTTTATAATTGGTTATGTAGAATGAATTTACATATATATAATATTATTAGAAATATATATTATTTCTAATTTGTTTATAGAGTTCTGGAAAGTCATCTGTAATAGAAAATTTAGTAGGCCGTTCGTTCCTTCCTAGAGGAACAGGTATAGTAACACGTCGACCGTTAATACTTCAACTTGTATATACGCCAAAAGAAGATAGAGAACATCGTAATGCAGAAAATGGAACATTGGATTTGGAAGAGTGGGGTACATTCCTACATACAAGAAACAAGATCTTTAAAGATTTTGATGATATACGTTGTGAGATAGAAGCGGAAACAGATCGAATGGCAGGAGCTAATAAAGGCATTTGTCCGGAACCTATTAATCTTAAAATTTATTCAATGTCTGTTGTTAATTTAACGCTTATAGACTTGCCTGGTATTACGAAAGTGCCAGTAGGAGATCAACCTGAAGATATTGAAAACCAAATTCGTCAACTTGTATTGAAATACATATGTAATCCTAATTCTATCATTTTAGCAGTTGTTACTGCTAATACAGATATGGCTACAAGTGAAAGTTTGAAACTTAGTAAAGATGTTGATCCGGATGGTAGACGTACTCTTGCTGTTGTCACAAAATTGGATCTCATGGATGCAGGTATATTTATTTTGAAGTATTGTCATATATTAAAGCTCTTTTTAAAACTCATTTATTTTCTTCTGATAATAGGAACAGATGCGATAGATATATTGTGTGGTAGAGTAATTCCCGTAAAGCTTGGAATTATTGGAGTTGTTAATCGTTCTCAACAGGACATAATGAGTAATAAAAGTATTCGGGATGCATTGAAAGATGAAGCTGTATTTTTACAACGTAAATATCCAACATTAGCTAATAGAAATGGAACACCTTATTTAGCTAAAACGCTTAATCGATTACTCATGCATCATATACGAGATTGTTTGCCGGAATTGAAGGTGTAGTATCATTCAAATTAATAAGTACATTAAAATTTTTCTTATAATTGTTAGTAATAATATATAATCTAATATACGATTTTAAAAATCAGACAAGAGTTAACGTAATGGTATCGCAATTTCAAACATTACTTTCTTCTTATGGAGAAGATGTTGGGGATAAAAGTCAAACTTTATTGCAAATTATTACGAAATTTGCAAGCAGTTATTGTTCTACTATCGAAGGAACTGCTAGAAATATTGAAACTACTGAATTATGTGGTGGTGCACGAATATGTTATATATTTCATGAAACGTTTGGAAAAACACTTGACTCTATCCATCCTCTTGCTGGTCTCACTAAAATCGATATTTTAACTGCTATACGAAATGCAACTGGACCAAGACCAGCACTTTTTGTGCCCGAGGTGTCTTTTGAATTATTAGTTAAACGACAAATAAGAAGGCTGGAAGAACCTTCTTTACGATGTGTAGAACTTGTGCATGAAGAAATGCAAAGGATTATACAACATTGTGGTACTGAGGTACAACAAGAAATGTTACGATTTCCTAAATTACATGAAAGAATTGTTGATGTTGTTACGCACTTGTTACGAAGACGTCTCCCTACTACTAATCAAATGGTATTATTTTAATTATTTAATGTTCCTTATTTAAAATATTATTTGTATATATTTCTATTGAAATTTATTTTTATAAAGGTAGAAAATTTGGTTGCCATAGAATTAGCATATATTAATACCAAACATCCAGATTTTCATAAAGATGCAGCATTTGTTTCTTCGTTATTGAAAAATACAGATACAGATAATATTAAATATAATAGAAAAGTACCTACTACTAGCAGCAACTCTATATCTGGCGTTGCAATGCCTACTGAAAATGTAAGTGAAATTTAAATGAAATTTAATATATTAATTGTAACTGGTTTTATCTTGTTCTAATCCCACATCTCTAAAAAATACTAATTAATATTAGATATTAAATTTAAATAACAAAACATATACTTAATTGTGCATTCTATTTTTTTATTTTTTTTAATCTATTCCTTACTAATCATTCACAATCTGTATCATAACAGAACGTAAAATTGACCAATAGTCAAGATGAGTTGACATCTTTTTCTGAGCAGAATAAAAAGATGCATGCGCAACAAAATCATTGGTTACTGAGTAATTTATTACCGCAAGAAAGAACAGAATCTGTTACGTCTGCTGAAGGATCTCCAATTAAAACTTCAGGAAATATTTCTCCTCAACCAAATTTGATGCTTGACGTACAGAAACCATCGCCACAACAAAAGCCAGTAAATTTACTCCCTGAAGTGCCAATGCAAACACCACGTAAACTAAATGAACGAGAGCAACGAGACTGTGATGTTATCGGTAATTATAAAATAATATATTTTGGTATTTATATTATTATATAATATTTTGATGTAAATTATTATATTTTCTAGAGCGACTTATTAAATCCTACTTTTATATCGTACGAAAGTCTATACAAGATAGCGTACCCAAAGCAGTGATGCATTTCCTAGTCAACTATGTAAAGGATAATTTACAAAGTGAACTTGTAACTCATTTGTATAAATCAGATCAAGCCGAAGCATTGTTGAACGAGAGTGAACATATTGCTATTAGACGAAAAGAAGCAAGTGATATGCTAAAGGTATATTATTCATTAATTATATTTCTAATACTACTATCTATTCTATAATGATCTTGATATGAAAAAACTTTTTTTGACTAATTATATAAAACTTCTTTACTCCTTCCATTATAGGCATTGACTCAAGCAGGTCATATTATCAGTGAAATTCGCGAGACGCATATGTGGTAATAATTTAAATAATAAACCACAATAGCATCAGATTATAGATTAAAATAGGTATTATTATTGTGTTTGGATAGATAAGTCAATGAATGCAACTTATGTATATGCTAAAACACTGTACAAAATTTTTATTCTTCATGCAAACGAAATTTCTAGAACAATGAAGTAATAATTTTTGTCATCCCAGACATTATAATAATTTTTAATATATGATGAGTATAAATTATGCACTACTTTACTGTACATACATCTGGGATTGTTTAGATACCATAAAATGGAGATGTTATGCTTAATATTATCAGTGTTGTGTAATGTCTAGCATGTACTTACAAACAAAATTTATGCATTTTTCATTTTCTTTAGTAATTTAATATAATATTATAAAATTTGTACAATGTCATTTTACAACAACAATTAAGTACTAAATCGGTGAAAAAAAAAATATATATATAATAAGTTTGCATGATATAAAATAATATATACATATTTCTTTTTTTTCTTTCTTTCAGAATAATTTTTCTTTTTAAGAAATGATTATAGACGAATGATAATTTCTCAACTTATTTATTTATCTTTAATTGTACATTTTTTGTTTTCTTTCTAAATTACACCTTTTTATTTGTTCACATATTAAATTATTTATGAGATAAACGATATAAAATTTGAATATAGAAGTAAAATAAACAATTGTTTTGTAGATAATTTTAAGCTTTAAAATTGAATATGATACACATAAAGAAATAATATAGTAATTAAGATTATATTAATTTGTAGAAATGCAACCAAAGGAATTATAACATTGAATAAGGCATTGCTGTGTTTTGATAGACTCTATATTAGGTGTTTCCAAGAATTTTTCAACAAAATTTATGTGATCTAATAGTTGATTTAATGCTTCTTTATAGTAACCTTGATACATTTTGGAAATTGCATTTACCCTCTTTTCAATTGATTTTCTAAGTTGCTTCTTTAATTTTTGATAGTCTAATTTTTTATTACATTGGGGACAATGTTTTATTTTATGCATGCCATTCTTTGTCTCCATAAATGAATAATCGGCTTGAGAACATGTTTTGCATTTAAAATTAAGCATATCTGGCAATGGTAATCGCCAATTATACTTGCAAGCATCGCATTCGCACATGAAAAGATATTTTTTCCATAAATACTCGCGCCTTGCTAATTTGTCATCGCTAAGAAATTGTGGACCATAGCAGTCTAATATTTCATTTCCTTTGCTAATGCAACGTAATGTTCTTACAACAACTTTTCCTATAAAAGGATATATTTATTAATTGTTTGTCAATACAATGCATATCTTTTATTTTCGTTGCATATAAAACTCATAAAGAACAAAATAGATAATTATAAAAAAAATGTTATGTTATTATATCATATAATATAATATAATATAATATAATATAATATAATATAATATATATATATATATATATATATATAACTTACCAGATGAATAAGAATGTCGAACTACATTAGGATAACAACTATGATTTGTAAGACTGACAGTGGTGTAAATGGCACAACCTACATTTCTTGGTTCCCAAACATGCGTTTCTTCATTATGTACATTTTCAACAATTTCGTAAGCATTATAATTAATGGCCTGCAAATGCTGCAACGTAGCAGTCGCTAAAGCTATGAATTTGTTGTTATCCAGTGAATCTATTCCAATTTCATTGAAAGAAAAAATTAAACACTTGGCTATAAACACTGCTTCTATACTACGAATAGCATTTACATTAGGATCTACATTCGTACAATGTGATTCTAATTGTAAAACAGTTGTGTAATCTAATGGATCATATATTTTATTTGCATTTGATATAACAGTGTTTTTTTCTTTTGACTGATGGTGCTTAAAAAACTCTGTATTAAGACTAGACGATTTATAAATTTTTTCCGTATTATTATGTTTTTTTTCATTTGGAGATAAAGCTGCTATCAAAGTAGTTCTATAAGCCAACAAAAGATGAGATAATTTATTTTTTCCTTCATTAAATCCTTCCTCAAAGAAAAGATTTAATATAGCGCATTCATATTTATGATACATCTCCCATGACTCATTGCGACAAGTTTCAGTGCAATACGAAACCTGAAAAGGGAAATATAATTTCTGGAATATGGATGCAAAAGCACAGTTACACACTGAACTTCATAACGATTTAAAGAGGGGTAAAACAAAATTAATTATTATTAAACTAACTATTTCACTCTTGTACACGCACAAGATCATGCATAATACTAACTGTTTGACACATATAACAAGGAATTCTAACATTATCTTCCAATTTAAGGGAACTGTAACAATGCAAGCAATTCCTGTCGAGTGCCTCTTTATCAATGGTGGAGGAGAAAGGCTGATCGACTATTAAAACACTTCCTGCACAAATATCTCTGGTTGCTACAAGATGCCTGCCTCTGTTATTATCAAATCGAAGTTCTACTGCATCGGAACAACTTTTCAGACTGTTGTTCAACTTTCCATGCACAGTTGGTGTCGATACGACGGTTTGTTTTGTTATTACTTCAGCGGAAGAACAATACTTGGCATTTTCCTTTCCACGTATTTTCTGTTTCCGTCGAATAGTTATTTCCAATTTTTTAGAGCACTCGTGTTTAAAATTATAACATTCCTTTTTATGCTTTAAGTAAACATTTTTATTATCTACATTTTTATCGTAAAAGCTCTGAGGAAGTGCTAACAAGCATTCACTATCTTTAAGACATTTTATCCAAGCTCCTAATTTATACCAATATTTTGCACGCTCTAAAAGAGCATTCATAAATACTAAACTACATGCACTGGCTGCAAACAGTGCTTCGGTGAGAACACTACATGCTCTACTCTCTTCTTCCGCTTTAATTTCTCCATCTTTCATTATATTAAGTGATTTCTGATAAAGCAGTTTTGCTTGTTGATCGTTCTTACCCTTATATGATTTAGTTATCTTTGTATTTAATACACATGGTAATTCAATTATTACTTGAACCATCCCTTGTCTATCTCCTTTTACCGATAATTCTTTAAAACGGCTCATAAATGGTTCAGTTGTTACAGTATCATATGCTTGCCGACAAAAATCAACAAATATACTGCCACTATAATAAATTTATTGAATATTTATTAAATATAATTAAGTGTAATTATATTACATAATGAAAAAAAATAGATTCAATTGTAAATCAAATTTATCCTCGTTCTGCATATTGAATATATTATAACATAAATCTGTTTTGTATGGTATTTGACATACAATTTTATTCTATATATATTATTTAATAATATATATATATATATATTGAAATTTGTATAGTTTATATAAAAATGTAAATATATAATGTCATGATAAAATAGCATAAACTCTTTAAACGTTATTAATTTATTAAATTTATATATCTATTTGAAATATAATTGAAAGAGAGAGAGAAAAAGAGAGATCTAAAAAAAATCATTTTTTACTTACTTATTTTTCATAGTCATTTTTAAATATTATTTGTTACTGATCCCTCACAATTTGTATCACGAATGTAGGACGGTTGTCGTACTTGTATATTCTCTCGAAGGCGGTTTACTAATGTGACGATTTCTAAAATTAGTTACCAAAGTTACTGTTGTAAATGCCTCGTATAAAATGCGTGGCAAATGCCAAACATAACACATCAATGAATTTATTTTGCTTTTCTTTCTCTCTCTTTCTCTTTCTCTTTCTCTCTCTCTCTCTCTCTCTCTCCCTCTTCAAATTAAAGAAAAAAAATACATTGTATATAATATAAAAATATATATATTGTGTGTGTGTGTGTGTGTATAGAAAAGAAAAGAAAATAAACAATTTATTTAAAATTTCTTTAAAAATATTTACATAATGCGTCTTATGTATGCAAGTCTATTGTAATGTATATAGAAGAGTAATTTATTATTAGTTCTATAAATGTATCAAGAACAAATGAAATCTTCTATGCAGTATTGCACTATCTACATTTTGAAAATACACATGATAAACGAGTTATTTTAGAAATTAATTATTGATAAAGTAAAAAAATATTATTAATCAATTATAAATTTTTTTCTTCAATTATACAATTGTAGGATTATTAATCTATATAAGTAAATGTTGTTTTAAAATGTGACAAATGTATTCGAAATTAATAAAGAAGAAAAGGAAAAACAACAATAAATAATTCTTAAAGATTTGCATTTTTATTTAAATCATCTTATTTATAAGTGATTACAAATTACAAATTACACTAAGTGACTACAATTATATATACAAATATAATTAATAATAATTATTATTGTGTATGCGTGTGTGGTTATACAATTGTAGAAATAACTATATAAGATTTTAACTTTTCAAATAAAAATTATTTCCGCTTATTTCTATATCCCGCGTTTCGTTGATTTAAAAATAGCGGGACGAATAAATACTAGATATTTTTTGTACGTTTGACCAATAGAATGTTAGCTTTTATTTGTTACTAATATATAGCTTAAACTAGTGAAAAGTAATAGATGAGAAAAGTAGTTTAAGATTTGGTCGTAGCGCTTCGAGCGCTTTTATTTGACGAACTTCAATCGATAATGTAGGAAAGTGAATTTTTGTAGAAGTTAAAACATCAAGATAGTCATAAATGAAACATTACCGACAATTCATGGCAAAAGAATGGAAAAGAAGATTACGAAGTGATGGTAAAGAAGATTTAAAGCAAAAATTTAGGTTACTTTTATAAGATCTATAATATACATTATGCCTGTGTGTTCTAAATATACAATACGTGAAATCGATTTACTTAGCCTATTTCTTAAAAGTATAACAAATCCATGAAGTAGTCAATTATAACAATATTGTTTTAAATATTATAAGCTTTTCGCAACGATTTAAATTAAATATCATTCATTTGGATATAAAGTTTTGAAATTAATTTAAGAATGATAAGATATTATTTTCCCGCCCGCCTACGCGCCTAAAATCTATCATTTCTTCGATATCTCAGAATACGACTGACGTTTCTTATTATACACGTGCGCAGAAGTTAATTCATGGATTAAACAGGAGATATTATCATACTAAAGTCTTAAGTAGATTATTCTTCATTATTGGTATTGAATGTGTTATGTGGAGCATATCAAGAAAGCATTATGGTAAGTAAAAAAAAAAGATAAATTCATTGGAAAAATATTAAAATTAATCTCATCTAAATAATATATTTATCTATGTATGTACATTTTCATATAATTAATTATATGATTTTTCAGGAACAAGAAGAAATATTAACGTATCAAGTAATGAATACTATTGAACGTAAGACTTGTGAAAATGATGATATTGAAAATTCAGACGAAAGTGATAGACCATCAGGTGAGAGATGGGCTCCTGTTGGAGCAAACGATGGAGATAATGATTTTGGGGATGAATATAAATATGTTGATAATATAGGAAAGTAAGTGATTATTTGATGAAACGTTTTGTAGATTTTATTAATGGTTTACTAATATACAATACTTTTCTTACATAATACTTTTAGCCTTTCTAATGATATGGAAAGATTAAAGTTATTAGAAGAAGAACAAGAGATGCTTAATTCGTCTCTGATAGCGTTAACTACACATTTTGCTCAAGTAGGTATTATAATCGTTTTTACTTATATAGAATTATGAATAGATTTTTTAATGTTTAATATTCTTATAGGTACAATTTCGTTTACGTCAAATTGTTGATGCTCCGACTAATGAGAAAGAAACATTGCTTAAAGAGTTAGAAGAATTTGCATTTAGAGGGATTCCTGATGTACCGAATAATTTATTATTTGAAAGCAGATCTATTACACCCATTTCTCCGACATTTTGTAAAGAAAGCGTAAGTATTACACTTTTATTTATTATTTAATTATTTCATTTTTTAATTTTAACATTTGATTTTAATGCTTTTTATCATACCTTATTGCTTACTTATTTATATTATTTGTTTTTCTTTTTATTTTTAAATGATTTATTTATTTCCTTTTTGTTGTCACATTATGAAAAAGATATATAATAAACTTTTATTAATACATCTACTATATAAACCGCATTTATTATTCTTTATCCACACATCCATTTTTTCCTTATATTTCAATTTTTTAAATAACATTTTAAAATGCGCTTGAAAATTTGTACAAAGAATGCATATTATGTAAATACTGAAACTTTTTTCAAGGTAATTATAATTATTGTTTGTTTTTATTATATATTATATTTTTGTTAAATTAGCATTATTAATAAATTTATAATCCTATCTAATTTAGCAGATTGGAAGCATGGTTAGTGATGTAGAAATGGAATCGAAAATGGCATTACAGAGAACTAAACAAAGGGAGTTAATTAGTCAATTAAAGTCACAATTGGAAGATTTAGAAAAATACGCATACGAAATGGGTGATGCAGATTTACCACAAAGCGTTGTGTTAGAACGTCAAAGTATAATAATCAGTAAGTTATGATATAAAATAATTTAATATAACACTTTAAATCATTATATTTGAATAAGTAAACTTAATGGTTCCTTTTCTAGATCACTTGAAGGAAAAATTAAATTTTAATGTAGATGATTTGTGTAAGTTACCAATAGATGATTTAAGGTGGCAAGTTGATTATGCAATAAGTCAAGTAAGTTTATATGTATATATATTTTATTGTATCTGTTTTTTTTCTGATATATTTACAAAAATTGCAATTACATTACAGATAGTTAGTCCATTAAAAATGAAAGAACAATTGGTGTCTCAATTGAAAACACAAATTGCTGATTTAGAACGATTTATAAATTATCTTCAAGGAGAAGTGAGTACGGAAACATTGGCATGCACTTGTGCTTGTCCAGTACATACTAATGGCTCTGCTACATTTAATCATACTAACAAATTTGAGAAAAAGGCAATAGATAATGAAAGTAAAACTAAAACTTTGAATACTGTTAAAAAGGTCGTAGCTCTCTTACATATGTTTATAATATCACAATTGGGATGTAGTAGTGCACAGGTTCGAAGAAATTTAAATAAAAATTCGATATATAATTGGCGTGATTTAAGAACTAGATTAGACATTGCGGTTGAGCACGTTTTAAGTACTATCGCAGAAAATGAACATCAGCTTGAAGATGATGATGTTGGTGCTGATGAATACACGTCTGACTCGGATTCTGCATCAATGCACTGTAATGCAAAACTAACATCGGCAATAAGAAAGCATCTAGCAGCTTCCATTAGAGATTTGTTACAACATGGTTTAATGTCTGATGTACGTTCTAACAGTGTAGTTCCGTTTATGGGATGTTTTCATCAAAGAAGTCCTTCCTCTGCTAATTTTATGCATGCCTGGGAACTTATCTTAAAATATTATGAAATAAAAAATGGCCATTATTATAACTCCAGTCCGGCACAAAAATTATCTCAAAGCTTTAATTTAGATCTTATCGGTAAAGCTACTTCTGCTAAACAGGTAATTTTTTCGCTTTGTTCATTCAATTCATAATTAACAAATAAATACGAGAAATTCATAGTTTCAGTTTGAATGTATTTAATTTATTATTTTTAGAGTCTACTAACTACTATAGGTAACATTATTGCTTCGCATAGTCCTTACAAACGGAGTCGTGATTCACATTTTAAAGCATTTATATGTGCTGCTTTAAAGTAAGTAAAATTGTTATTCTTGTCTCAACACTAAGAATAATTATAGAATTAAATGAATTATAAATTTTAATTGTAGCGCAAATAAATTGGTGGTTTGGCTAAAGCTCATTTTACAATGCCAATATCTTTTAGAATGTCACTACACGTCATGGAGTTATGTGGTGAAAACAGGTATATTTAAATTCGTATATTTATTTGATACGTTTTAATGAATATTCTTTTTTCTTTTTTAACTATTAGGATTTCAAGACGCATTTCACACTCTCGACAAACTTACGAGATATAAGTTTGATCTGCCAGTTGACTTAGCTGTACGTCAATTTCAAAATATAAAGGACGCATTCTGATTAATGCATAGAAAATGATCCTTGTATAAAAAAATTATAATTATTAATGAGAACAAAAAAAAAACTCAGATACAACAATCCTCTATATGATATATATAAGTACACTTATGAGTGGAAGATAATATCAGAATGTATAATTCAAATAAGTTACCAAGTTTTCGAATCTAAGAATTATACTGCAATCATAAGTATTATCAAGCATTAACTTATAACCAGTATTCTTTCGTAGTTCCTATATGCTTGGAAAAGGTAAATATTATTTATGAAGTATGTAATAAAAATTAAATAATTTTTATCTTGAGGTATTATATAAGATATATATATTATCAGTATTTATCAAATATTATTTTACATTTACATCACAATTTTTTTCTTTTTTCTTTTCTTTCTAATTAATTAATTAATAATATCTTTTCAACATAAAATTTCATGCTATCATTACATAGCAGTGGTTTATTCCAAACATATTTACACACAGTAGGGTTGAACATAATAAAAACTAAAGAATATAATAAGTAACAGAAACTTACCTTTCCAAATACTTATACATGCAGTCGATGATTTAATACATGCATTTAGAATATTGCAAATATCATTTGCAATATTTTTACACAAAGTAAACGTAAATACAACAAATAAGAGAATAGGAATTAAAGATAAAAAGAGCATTATAATTAAATGTTTCATTAAATATTCATAAAAAATTAGAAAAATATTAATCATGTATTTCATTTATACTAATAAGTAGTCACTTATATTTAACAATGAATCTTAAATCAAATTAAAAACCAAAGAATTATTATATTTATTCTTTTTAAGTAAAATTTCATAGATATTCTTTATATATTAAATAGGTTGTTAAACGACATTATGTACATATGTATGTAGTCAATATTTTATCAATTTTTATGCAACTTATATATAACAAATATTTAGATTGGTTATAAAAATAATTTATTATATAACTTATTATTTATATATTTTTAAGAAATTTTGTTTGTTATATTGACTTATATTATCTTGTAGCCTAAATTTTTTTTATTTGTAGGGAATTATTAATTAAATCTGACATAATATTTACATATGCACATAATGTTGGTTTTATTAAATATTTTCTTTAATGAGTTCATATTACATCCAATAAATAACTATTACTTAAGAATGAAAAATTTGTGTTATACAAATTTTAAAAAATAATATATACAAATACATGAATCTTATACAGTAATAGTTTTACTTGTACTTGTACATATACGTATCATTAAGTTTTTGCTAAATATAAGAGAATATAATGTATCAATTATATCATAAAAATCATATATTAATTAATTAATAAGAGCTTTACGTAAAAATCTAAATATCTATTAATATCAATTAATTGGATAAATACATAAATAAATATCTCTATCTGTACATTAATTTCATTTAAAGTAAAAATTAATCATACACCAATTCTGTCATGATAATATATATCCTTTTCTTATCCTATACTATATTTTTTATTGGGCTGTGAGTTAAATGAAAAACAATAAATATGAAAGTGGTTGTTTATTTTTTGTAAAAGTACATCAGTAAAAGTTTGTAGCAGATTTCTTTTCAACAAGTTTGTAATCATTGTTGACTCCGTGATCTACACATTGATAATAAAAATATTTCATGGATTAAAAAATGATAGAAATTGACACATTTATGGAGCTTTACATAGAGTAATTGTTAATATTATAATTATGGAACAAATATACCTTTTTAATATAAATCTTAAATATACACATTCACAATCGAATTTTAAGATATAAAGGAACAAAAAATATAATGGAATAATCTATTTGTAAAAACAATAAGAAACGTTATGTATTGTCGTGGAGTCTCAATGCTTTCACAGATTAAGTAATAGAGTTTGTTGTACATAAAATTCAGAATAGAGACTACATTTTCAATAACAAATTTGAAATCAACGAATTATATAATACCAGGAGTTATTTTTTGGTCAGAGATAATACGCTTAAAAATGTGTATTATCCTTTTATATCGTATTACATAGATTTTTTTTCTACTTATATAGGATACAAGTACGTGGATGTTATAAGAGCACAGAATCGGTGTCTTCCCCTTTTTCATTTACAAAAATGTATATAAAAAGGTATATAGAAGAGCTTTAGTTCCATTATTATTATTATCTTGCATCTCTTACTTTTACTTATTGTTACATGCAATGATAAATGATGTACTTGTTAGAACATACACATATTACATTTTCTTAATATTCAACAAATATGAAGGTATATGCGAATTAATACATCTTGCGTGTAAACATTTATCGTATCAATACATGATCGTACGTATTATAGTAAAAAACAATCTAGATGCGCTGTCCTTGGTAGAAATTTGGTGGTATTTATGTTTTTATATACGTAAAATATATTTAGGTATATATATATATAATATAAACCGTTTAAAAAATGATTATAAAATATATGTAAAATACACAAAGAATCTATCTAAAAATATTCATTAATTGATGGATTCTTGTTGGAATGTCAGTGTAATATAATATAATATACCACTTCGTTCAATTTAAATAAAATATTACTTAAAAACACTATCAGAGAACAAAACATTAGCATTTAAAAGATGAATAAAAATTAATTACAATACGCTTTGACATTTTTGGAAAAATCTATAAAAATCGTGTACAACAAATAAGTGTACATGTTGTGGCATCAAACAAGAAATACGTTAATTAAATAATATGCGATTTGAACATTCATTATATTGTTTTACAATACCATAATATAATTTACTTTCAAAATTTTACATATAACAGTATACATACTCACTTACATACATGTTCTCTTTGGTTTAACATTCTTCATTGTCATTTTCCTTGACATAATTCTTATAACACACATTTAAGTTATATTTTTGCTATAGCAACGATCTAATATACATATTTAACAAGAAAAAAATTTGTGAGCGATCAAAGTATTAGAGCTAATTTAAATATTATCACAAATGACAAAACCATAAAATGCACAATCAAGTTTTACATTGCGAATTTTTTGAATCTCTTTAATTTTACTAACAGGATCTTAAAAATAATTCTTCACTTTGGTCGTATATCTTTTGTTCAGTCTTCAGTTATATTTATTCAGAGTATAAATTAAAAAATCTCGTGTGTTATTTCTATCTCAGTGTTAAGTATATAATTCTATTTTTAAATAATTTCTTAAAATAACTTGGAATAAAAAATGGAATGTAAGTATTCTTTCAAGTAAATGTAAGTTCATATATACTCATATAATTTTTGAGTAAACAAAAATGCATTTAATTTTAATGCATATGCATACAGTGGTGAAAGTATGTATTGACACACTACGCTGAAAAAAAAATTGTTTATAACGCTTGTTCTTCATATGAATCTTTTTATCTAGAATGTTTTATTACCAATACTTATGTCTTCCACTGTATGTATACACATATTAATTCAATAATTCCATTATGAAACTGTATAAAGACTCTATCTCTTTTTAAAGCATTACCTTCTGCATAATATTGATTATATGATTCACATACTGCTCTGGAATGTTGCATAATATACATATAAATCTGCATAGCAAAACATGTAAAGATATAGAAAATGTAAATATATATATATATATTAGGGCAGTGACCTTTTACAATCATATTAAAACATTTCTATAATATTTATGGTTATGTATGTATATTTGCTAAATAATAGCCGTTCATATTTATATCACACATCACCGATTATAAATGTAAATGGCTAGGATAATAGAATAGAATATATATGAAATAAAAAACTTTGACAATTTACATTGCAATAATGTGATTTAAATAGCTGATCAATTCCACAAGAATCTTTTTCAGTTCTTGCAATTATTAATATTTAAAAATTTTAAACGATATTTTAAGCCATTATGTTAAGTTAAAATGCATCATTTTTTCATTACGTGTAAAGATATATAAATTGTTTGTGTACATCTATTCGATAGGATATTAAACTACATTTTTTATCCACAAAACAGTAAAACTTACGATTTAATGTTCGCATGTACTTAAAAAGCATTTTGCTAAAGATATTCTCAAATCAATATAGTTATTACTAATATATGTAATAGCCACATTTTCTTTTTCTTTTTATAAATATTCTTAGCTGTATGCCATTAACGTGACATAACAAATATAACAAAGAAGGCCTTTGTATGTAACATTTACATTTTACATTTTAATAATTACTTACCTTTAATGCCGAGTAAGTAATATATTAGTTATTACACTTATATATAATCATGTACTGCTTCATTTGTATTCAGACGTGAATGCGTAAAGCCACGCTGTCTGTTTTATTCTCTGCTTCTATCTCGTGTTTTATTGTATCAAGTCTTTCATAAATTGCTCTAAATGTAGGCCTGTCGGATGGTCTTCTATTCCAGCAAAGTTTCATTAATTCATATATTGATAAAGGTGTATTATCAGGACATTGGAGAACATTGCCTTCTTTGATGTATTTAACAACTTCTTCGTGAGTCATTCCGTAATATGGTTGAAGAGCAAAACTAAATATTTCCCACAAGCATACTGCAAAAGCCCAAACATCTGATTCAACAGTATATTTGTTATAAAGTATACTTTCAAGAGGCATCCATCTAACTGGAATAGCATCTTGTTCGTCGCCTTTATAATAATCTTGAAGATATATTTTTTGAGATAATCCAAAATCCGCTATTTTCACGATCATTTGATCGTTTATTAAACAATTTCTAGTTGCAAGGTCTCGATGTACAAATTTTCTGTCTGATAAATATACCATTCCGGATGCTACTTGCAAAGCTATATTAATTAAATCCATATGCGATAATTGTGAATCTGTGAATGTACCATCTCTTTCTAAACTTCGAATAATGTAATTTCCAGGTGAACAAGAACGTAGGAATTCATTTAAATCACCACGTCCCATGTATTCAAATAAAAGACACATTGGACGCCCTAATGCACACACACCCAACAACTTAACAATATTTGGATGATTAAATTCTGCAAGTAAACATGCTTCCCTTTCAAAATCTACAAGCAAATCATCTGATGCTTCTTCCTTCAACATTTTCACCGCAACATTTGTGAATTCTTCACCTGGCACTAAACCAG